GGGCCACAAAGGTACCAACAAGGAGGCGCCCCCTGCAGGACAGAATTTTATTTTATCTCAGCAAACTGTGAAAGCTGATTTTCATTTTAGTTGCATATCTGTAGTGATATTTCTGATAGTTAATTATTCATTTCCTCTATTCACAAAACATACAACTGCCAATCTAAGGCTTATTATACTTTTTTCAATTCACTGCACAAAAATTGGAATTTACACTCCAGATAAGCTGAGGACCATTTCGCCATTAACAGACTGGCAACGGGCGAGGGAGTAGGCAATATATTTTTTTAAGAAACGTTATACCTTCTGGTATATTCATGCTTGCAAGTTTTATGTTTTGTTGCAGAGACACCCCTTAAATGTCCTCGAATGGCTCTGAAGCAAAGAGGTCATGAAGGTGGACTAATCTGAGTACAACTTTGAAACTGCAGGCCTGGCTACATGGGAATCGATGGGAATGATGTCCAAAAATTATTTTTCCATACAGGATCTGAATTATGAACAAAAGGTGCTTCTGTCTTCAAATTACCTTTTGTGGGTAAAGTTCAGGATCAAAAAGAATTACACACGTTCCATTGGGATTAAGGCATGGATGCATCAAAAATACTTGTCCTTTTCCTTACAACAGAATGCTGGTGTGTGAGATTTGACTGGTGAATAGTTGACTTGTTGTCAAAATGTCTAATTTCATCATTCATATCTTACATAGGAATATAAATGTTAGTTCTGGGGTTGTTAAATTCATGACTAAATTGTAACTAAATTAACTCTGAAATTCACAATTTGCCAAGGGACTTGCACATCAAAGGTCTTTCTATATGCATTTACAAGATGAGAATTGGAAAGGCGAGACCCTCAAAACAGCAGGTGGGCCGATTTAGCTGGGTAACTGCAAACAATAAGTCTGAGGAGAAATAACCTGGCCTGCACGGTGGCTCAGTCTCACAGCCAGGGACTCGGGTACAATTCCAGCCTGTGTGGAGTTTGCACGTTTTCGTGTCTACGTGGACTTCCTCCTAGTGCTCCGGTTTCCTCCCACAGTCCAAAGACACACAGGTTAGGTGGATTGGCCATGCTAAATTGCCCCATATTGTCCAGGGATAAGCAGGCTAGGTGGCTTAGTCATTGTAAATGTGGGGTTACGTGAATAGGGTGGGGGGCTGGTTCTGGATGGGATGCTCTTTGGAAGGTCAGTGCAGATCTGATGGGCCGAATGGCCTCTTCCTACACTGTAGGGATTCTATTCTAAATGCCTGGCTTCCATTAGATTTGCAAGTTATTCTTGAACTTTCCCAGATCAAGGAAAGACTTTAAAAAGCAACTGGCAAGGGACGTTCTTCAAGATTTACTTTTTTTGAAGGTAACATTAACTAGCTTAAATCACTAACAAAAACAGAAATTGCTGGAAAAGCTCAGCAGGTCTGGCAACATCTGAGAAGAGAAATCAAAGTTAACGTTTCAGGTCCGCTGACCCTTCCTCAGAACCGGACCTGAAGCATTAACTTAAATTTCTCTTCACAGATGCTGCCAGACCTGCTAAGCTTTTCTACCAATTTCTGTTCTTGTTAGTGATTTACAGCATCTGCAGTTGTTTCGGTTTTTATGTAGCTTAAATCACAATCTGAGACATCTGAGGTGTACTATCACTTTGCCATAGGGAAAGATTGCAGACAGGTGGCCCTTGTTTTGGACTATGCATTTTCTCACACAAACGGTGAGTTGGAGCCTGGAAGCACCTTTGACTCAAAGAGAGAAATTTGCCAAGAGCTATAGATCACTAAGCAAGAAGGGAGTAAAGAGTTAACTTAGATGGGGTTTCCAATGTCATAAAGGTGCTTAATGGAAAATGGAGAGGGGGCACCTTGTCAAATGCTTGTGGAAGTGTTCCCAAGAAATTTTATACCTCAAATAGCAGGAACAGTGATGGAAATTTGATGTGAATTCGAGAGCTGTGGCACACCTTAGCTTGGACCCAGAAGTGAAAGAACCCTCAAAATCCTGTAAACCTTAAGATACCTCTTGGGTAAAATTAAAAATAGAATGACAAGTGATCTTTACAGGATTTATTAAGTATATTGCTAAATTAGTAGCATTTGCTTTAATGTTTGTACAGTAGGAGTTTTTGTTTGAAATGTGAAATTTTGTGTTGTAATTCTTTCAATTAATAACTAGGAGTTTAAATTTGTATTTATGTCTCTTAAGATTATAACGATTTTAGAGAAACTGAAAATATTTAATTTTTCTATCAAGATACTAGTAAATATTTACCTATATAAAACTAAGTTTTAAAAAAACTTACGTATGAATTTCAGGCTGTTCTAGAAATCGCTCCACACTGTTTCAAAAAAAAAAAGAATTAAATGTGCCCAAGGTAAGAAAAAGCAATCATAGTGTCATATAGAAATTAAGTATAATATATCAAATAGGTTTTAAAACCTTAAAGCTGCGAACTGCACTTTTGCAAATACAACATTAGTGTTAATCCATTGGTCACCAATGACATATCATTCAGCTTTATTTCACAAAAGATCCTTTCCTAAATTTTTACCCATTCTCCTCCTCAGATGTCAACTCAAGACAGAATACAGTCACAAGAGTGCTGGCTACTGTGCAGATACAGTACCTACATGACTACTCATTATACAGTCCACTGGTTAGATATTCCTTTCTCAGGCCAGGGAGGAAGCGGGTATGTGTGAAGGGTGAGGGAGGGGCAGGGATGGACTGTAGACAATTGGAATCATAGAAGAGTAGAATACTCGGTCAATTCTGAATTCCCAGCTGAGGTCAGATAATTCACCTTGGGCTAGGGACTTAAACTGGGATGATATGGCAAAGGAAACTATGCACTTAATGTATCAATAATCATTAGAGGACTGATGGTGCAACATATCAACATTGAATATCTCATGCAGGTTAGCAAGTAGGTATTTTCTGTAGTCTGACATGTTATGATTTTTCTTTTCTGGACCCATTAACATTCTATGTCATATTGTACATTAAGATAACTCAACATGGTTTGCATCTTTCAAATCTTCCCTGGATTTAATGCAAGCAAAGAATTACAATTATCTACCAGTGATTATCTACCATAGATGGTGTAGTTATTTTGAAATACACGTAAGCATTCCACAAGACTTAAAACTTGTAAACATGAACTGATATTGTTCTTCTTATCCAAAAAACATTTGCATGTTACTTAGACAGTAGATAGGATCTCTCAGCACTTTAACAATGTAGTTCTAAAATGAACATTTCTACAATAGCTACAGTCCTACTGCATTGTACGGAAATTTGTATTTCTAAACACTGACTTCCTATTTTTTCCACAAAAATTTTGAACATTTGAAATATTTTAACCCAATACACCAACCCAGGTCATCACAGATATCATCATAGAATCCCTACAGTGTGGAAACAGGTCCGTCAGCCCAACAAGTCCACACCGACCCTCAGAGCATCCCACCCAGACCCATCCCCCAATAACCCACCTAATCTACACATCCCTGAACACAATAGGAAATTTAGCATGGCCAATCCACTGAGCCTGCACATCTTTCAATTGTGGGGGAAAACCAGAGCACCCAGAGGAAACCCACGCAGACATGGGGAGAATGTGCAAACTCCATACAGACAGTCGCCCGAGGGTGGAATTGAACCTGGGTCCCTGGCGCTGTGAGGCAGCAGTGCTAACCACTGAACCACCGAACCACCATGCCACCCTTCATCTGGAGCATGAAACTGATACAATGAATAGCCTCCTTTACATTATTCTGAAAGTAAAACCAATGCCTAACCTCAAAAGGGGACTGTCAATTCCAAAGAACAGCCTTTTTAGAGAAGTGATAAGGAGTTATAAGTTAAAAGGAACTTATCAATGGCACCCCAAATTACAAGTAAAATCAAGAAATACTTCAAATTAATTTATATTGTACAACAATTTGGTGTAGTGAGAGGGATATGGATTAGTATCATTAACTTGATCCCAGTGAGACGCAATGATTTGGTACCTGTGTCCTTGTGATTAACGGAAAGATGATGGCTGGGGGAAAGAGGGAAACCTGTTAGTTTTTCCACACCTGATTACAAAGCAGGAAATGTGTGTCTGATATATGGTTAGGGACAAGAATGAGTTCAGTAGTGCTTGATAAGACACCAGCCTGCCGACAGATGCAATGGATGTTTGTGCCCATGAAAATCTACCCCAACACAAGACAATTTTTTCAGGGGAGGGTAGGAAAAGAACACTCAAAATGAAAACTGATTCTCCTAATCTTCACTTTTAGGTGTTACAAAGTTGTATAGCGTAATTGTGAATTGGAAGGCAGGAAGTTAGAATTTGTTTGTAAAATAAATGATTAGGGAGAAGAATGCGTGATTCCTTTGAGAGTGCTTTTCTAAGCTTAGAGATTTATACAGGGAAAACATGTCTATGTTGCTGAAGACGTACAGCCAGTTCTGAAATTGAAACATGTACCAATTGGCTGAGAGATTGGAAACCTTAAGATTGTTTTCATGATTTGGTAACTAGCTGGAATCAGTCAATTAATTTAAACCAAGCACTTAGCAATTAAATTGAAACCCAATTGAATTTAAATCTGATGGTTTTGACAACCTCGGACCAATGCTATTCTAAGAAAATTGATGTGATCCAAGGTATATAAGGAGAGGGTTTTTGAAAATCGGAGAGAGGGAACTGCCATCTGAGAAATAAGCATCTAGCTCTCAAAAGAAATCGCTAAGCTCTCTAAGAAAGCACCATCTATCCACAAAAGGTACCATGGTACTTCTAGTTAAGAGTCCACACAGAAGACTTCAGAGAAAATATCCCTGACAGCTGGATCAGCAGAAGAAAGGTGTTTATGACTTGAGAACACCAGAAGAAAGGAGTGTAGACTTTGAGAAACTAAGTTTTAACTTATTTTCTTATTACTTGGGTTCATATAAGTGGGACTTTTGTTTATTGGAACAGCATACCAGTAGAATTTAGTTCAGTTAGGGAATAGCTAGTAGTCAAGGGGGAATTGTTCGGTTTGTTAGTAATTCTGTTAATTTGTTCACTGTTAGGGTTAAATAAATAATTGTTACTTGTTATGTATATCAGGGATTTTCTTTCATTTAATCACTCTTTTTAACAGATTATAAAACGAGTCGACCTTCTCAGGGTATTTCAGGTTTAATTATTAGAAGGGAACCTCTAAGCTCACCATAACAGATTGGGGGTTTTTGTTTCGGTTTAATTATCAGAAGCGTTTGACCTCCCCCTTTGCAACATAGATTTCTAAATGATAGGAAAAAAAAGCACAGGTCACAAGATATCTAAGGATAGTAATTTAACCTACCCTTCCAGAAAGGACCAGTAAACAAACTCCTGCTTTTATACTGCCCCTTTACCGTACTTCACAACTATATCATTTGACAAAAATTTTAAAAGTAATGGTCTAGGCAAATTATATGATCTGCCAGTGTCAAGGATGAGTTTCATGCAAGTGATATGTAATATAGTGAGTTTAATATCTGGCAGTCTATCAAAGGTGGGGAAAACAATGAAAAAAAAAAGACTTTCCTATAAGGAGGATGGGTGAAGAATACAGAGTGGTAAGGGAGAGGAAGATTAGAAGTTAATTATTCTAAGCAGACCTTGAAAACTTCTAGTGACTATCAATAGAACACATGTAGCGGAATAAGTAGCAGCCTGGGTGCACATCTGTACGTTACTGTTTTGGTCAGGGAAGACCTCAGACTAGAATTGTTTGAAGGAGTGAAAGAAATAAAGAAAAATAATTTTTGAAAAACAAGTTGCTCTTTCACTACAAATAGTTGGCTGCAGAGTATCATAGGTTGGAACCTTGGACCAGGCTACCAGTCATGTGGTTGTATCCATGACACAGACGGTGAAATTGAAAGGGAGGGATAAATCTAAATACAAGGAGAAACTTAGAGGATCAGGAAGCTCAATGTGATGCATTAAGCTAATTTACTTGTTCTCCTTAAATATACTACTGCAGCTGAGTTCCTCATTGTGCCCCTAAGCAGTATGTTATGTTTATGATAGCCCATTAGCAGCACCTTCTATCCACTTACACACTGACTAATCGGGAGCAACGTTACTGCTGCGTATGGAATAGTAGTAAGATATGCTGCACTCATTATGGTTCGAAAACATAATGTATCACTGTAACCAAAGATTCGTCATAGTGGAAGTGTTTTCATAAATTAACCAATAATCTGTGGCATAGCTAAATGCTGAACTCTTACAATTTTATGGAACAGCAATGGGTACTTAATTGAAATACTGGGCTCCACGCTTACTGAATCCTTGGTTTGAATATCTCATCAATGATTTGGAATCGAAATAAAATATCAGAAGTAAAATCAAAGTGCAGCCAACAAAGTACGTCACCCACTCCTCTTTTTTGGCAAGATTCTAATATACTCAAATTCCACAATTATTGCTTTAATGCTGAAAGGAACAATTATGTTCTTGCATTTATAAAATATTGATTAGCCTGATGCATGTCAGGCCAGGATAAATTTTCATGGTGAAACGTTACATGTCAATCAAAGGGAAAAGGAACCACATTCTTACCTTTCTTTGAGTATAAAGAGGGCTCCGAGCTGTGCCAGGACGGTGGCAGCGAACACTGCTAATACTTCAAACCTCTCAAACCTGAAATTTAAGCATCAGGAAGGAAAACAAGTGTCACGATTGTAAAACAATCCATGCATGGTTCTCAGTAATACATGTGTTATTCCAAGCAGAGTAGAAATAGGTGAGAGACGGAACTAAAATTGCTCTAACATCCCTACAGGATAAACCCTTTAAGATGGCTCAGCACACACACAAATATTTTCAGATTACAACTACAGAATGCAGTCCTATTCAGACAGAAATTTATGAAGTCATTTCAATCTTTTGAATGTTAATTTTAATCTTGAAAAAAAAAGTACTGTATCATTCAAACCTATCGTACGCAGCTGAATCTTAACTTAAAAATAAATTTCAGAAATATGCAACAACTTTTCACTGAATTTGTCCTATTTGAACATTTACTTCGCTAAGAATGTTTCTTCTGTGGGAAGCACCTTTTTAAAGGCCTCATTCAAGGAATGTGCGTATGACTGAATGGGCCAGCATTTATTGTCCATCCCTAGTTTTTCTTGAGAAGGTTGTGATGAGATGCCTACTTGAGCTGTGGCAGTCCATTTGGTCTAGACACACCCACAATGCTATTAGAGAGACAGTACCAGGACTTTGATCTAGTAACACTGAAAGGGCAGTGATATATTTCAAATCAAAATGGTGAGTGGCTTGGAGGTGAACTTACAGGAGACAGTGTTTTCATGTATCTGATGCCCTTGTCCTTGTATTTGCTCTTGGTCATGGGTTTGGAAGGTGCTGCCAAAGGAGTTTTGGTAAGCTAATGCAGTGCGTCTTGAAGATGGTATATACTGCTACCACTGTGCGTTGGTGAATGCTTGCAGTTTCTGTGCCGTCAAGCTTCTTCTAGGTTAGAACTGCACTGACAGTCAAGTACAGAATTTGATCAAAGTCCTGATTTGTGTCTTGTAGATGGTGGACAGGCTTTGGGGAGTCAAGTGGTGAGTTAATCACTGTAGGATTTCTAGTTTTTGACTTGTTCTTATAGCCACTATAGAGAAATGTCTAGTCCAGTTCAGTTTCTGGTCAATGGGACCCCCAAGGTATTGACAGTGGAGAATTCAGCAATGGAAATGCCATTGAATGTCAAGGGATGATAGTTAAGATTCTCTCTTGTTGGAGACGGTTATTACCTGGCACTTATGTGGCACAAATGTTTCTTCCCCTTCAACCCAAGTCTGGACATTGTCCAGATCTGCATTCATTTGGACAGAGTGTTCTAGTATCTGGTGGGTCACAAATGGTGCTGGATATTGAATGATGATTGTACAATATCCCCAATTCTGCCTTTATGATGGAGGGAAGGTCATCGAAGAAGTAGCTGAAGTTGTTTGACCTAGCAACTCCTGCAGAGATGTCCTCAGGTCGAAAAAACCATCCCTCACCAATCACAGCCATCTTCCTTTATGCTAGACATGACTCCAACCAGCAGAGAATTTGCCCACCAATTCCTACTGACTTGAGTTTTGATAGCAATCTTTGATGCGATGCTCAGCAAAATTTAGTCTTGACGTCAAGGATAAACATTCATAGAACTTAGAACAGTACAGGCCCTTCGGCCCACGATGTTGTGCCGAACTTTTACCCTAAACCTAAGGTCTATCTAACCTCCACCCCTACCTTATACTATCATCCATATGCCTATCTAATAGCCGCTTAAATGCCCCTAATGAGGCCGACTCCACTACCCTCTCCGGCAATGCATTCCATGCCCCACCACTCTGAGTAAAGAACATACCTCTGACGTCTCCCCGATATCTACCTCTTTTCACTTTAAAACTATGTCCCCTCGTAAAAGCTACCTCCACCCTAGGAAGAAGTCTCTGGCTGTTTACTCTATCTATAACCTCTGATCATTTTGTACACCTCTATCAAGTCACCACTCATCCTTCGTCGTTCTAAAGAGAAAAGCCCTAGCTCTCTCAACCTTTCCTCATAAGACCTTCCCTCCATTCCAGGCAACATCCTGGTAAATCTCCTCTTTTTCCTTCCAAAATGAATCACCTCACACTTTTCAGGGTTAAACTCCATCTGCCTCTTCTCAGCCCAGCTCTGCATCCTATCAATGTCCCTTTGTAACCTAGAACAGCCCTCTGCACTGCCCACAACGCAACCCACCTTTGTATCGTCATTCTTACCTCCCCTCTGGAATTCACCTCTTTAATCCATGTCTAAACCCAGACTAACGAGATTAGGAGCTGAGCGGTTATGGTGGAATACAAACTAAACATTAGTCAATAGGTTTTTGCTAAGCAAATACTACTTGACAGCACTGTTGATGACCTCTTCCATTACTTTACTGATTGAAAATGGACCGATGGGGTCGTAAATGTTGGAGGCAATGGCACCCTGATGTTCTCACTACAAACCAGATATCTGGATACTGGTCTAAGGACCTGGGTTTGAATTCCACAATGGGAAATGGTGGAATTTGAATTTTTAAAAATCTTGAATGAGATGATGGCCACATTGCCAATTGTTGTAAAAATCCATCTGATTCACTAATGATTTTTATGGAAGAAAATCTGATATCCCTTACGAGGTTGCATCAGCTCCAGTCTAGCAGTGGCAGCCCAGGCCAATAGGAGGAAGGGAATGCTAAGGGGAGTCAGTAGGAGAATTCAATTTCAACTTGCTGGGGAATACCCTTGGAGTCACCCGTGCCAGGGATTTACATAGTTCTGATACACGACTCCAGTCTACACTACAACAACATTTGGGCCATCAAACTATAGTCGTCTCAGGTGGGAATACAAGATCCAACAGCACTATTTTGAAAAAGTGTCTCCAGGTCGATTTTTAATTCTCAATCAACATCAATGAATTGCTGGTCATTATCACACTTATTCATAGAAGCATGATGCGTGCAATTGGCTGTGACAATTCCTATATTATAACAGCAACTATATCCAATTAAGTACTTTAAATTGCGAAGTGCTTTGAATTTCCTGAACAAAGGGATGGCATAAATGCAAGTCTTTGCTTGTTTAATTTATGTAGAAGAGAAGCAGTTGAATTATTTATGAAATATTATAAGACTATTATGGTCATTTCAATTGTTTTGATCAGAAGGCATTAACCATCACATTTTGTAAAAATGATCATACATAATTAAAATATTGTAGATTAGTCATTTTGTGTACCTTGTATAAAATAAACTGACTTCAAAGTATCATATCTTATTACTCAATACAAAGATGAACTAACGTGAAGCGATGTTATTAAGCATGAAAATGTTGATAATCTATGATCAAAAGCAATAGGATGCAAGACTGTAACAATTCTTTTCCTCTCAGGATCCATCTGAAATACTGTGTCTTGGAATGGGGAAAGCAGGACATTTGCCAGTGTTCATTTTCATACACTGTGGCGCACCTTGCAGTAGCTGTTTAATGCATTGGCGGAGACTTAGGAGAGGGAGTAGAGAGATTGATCAAAAAATAAAATTTATATACTAATACAATACAAATGACTGCAGACATTCATTTTCTTTTCTCATTTTTCCATCTTATTATTTCACATGCTAAGTTAGTGATGAGATAATGAAAACACTTCACTTATATAAATGATTTGGATTAGAATATAGAAGGCATGATTACCAAGTTTGCAGACAGTGAAGGAGGTTTTCAATGATTACAGAGGGATCTTAATCAAATAGCTCAATGGGCTGAAAAACAGCAGATGGAGTTCAACCTGAATAAATGCAAGGTATTGCATTTTGGTACAACAAACAAAGATAGGGCTTATACAATTAATGGTAGGGCCTTGGGTGGTATTGTGAAAAAGAGGGATCTAGGAGTGCACGTATGTAATTCTTTGAACTTTGCGTGACATATAGACAAGGAGGTTAAAAAAGCATTCGGCATACTTGCCTTCATTGTTCAATCCTTTGAGTATACGAGTTGGGAGGTCATATTGAGGTTATACAGGACCTTGGTGAGGCCTCTTATGGAATACTGTGTCCAGTTCTGGTTGCCTAGTTATAGGAAGAATATTATCAAGCTGAAGAGGGTTCAGAAGAGATTTACCAGATGTTGCCAGGTGTGGAAGGTTTGAGTTATAACGAAAGGCTGAATAGACTGGGACTTTTTCCACTGGAGCGTAGGAGCTTGAGAGGCGACCTGATAGAAGTTTATAAAATAATGAGAGGTATAGATAGAGTTAATGGTAGTTGTCTTTTCCCTATGATGGGGGATTTCAAGGCTATGGCGCGCATGTTTAAGGGGAGAGGAGAGAGATTTTAAAAAGACATGACAGGCAAATTTTTTTTTTTTTTTTTTTAAAACAAAGAGTGGTTCACATGTGGAATGAACTTCCTAAGAATGTGTTGGATGTGGGTACAATTACAACATTTAAAAGACTATGGATAAGTACTTAAATAGGAAGGTTTGGAAGGATATAGGCCAGGAGCAGGCAGGTAGGATTTGGGATTATGTTCAGCATGGACTGAATAAACTGTTTCCATGCTGTAGGATTCTATAACCAGGTCTAACTTATTGCTGAAATGCAGTTGCATTTCCAACAACAGAAAGCAGGGAACTACAGGTCAGTTACTTTAATATCAGTCATAGCTGGCACTCATTGTTAAGAAGGTGAAAACAGATCGCTCAGAAAATCTCAGTGTAACCAGGTCTCTAATGTTTTTATGATATATATTGGTGTGATCTCATTTAGAGTCTGGTGTATAATTTTGGTCTCCTTAAATAAGAATGGACATAATCGTTCAGAAGCAGTGCAAAGAAGGTCCACTTGACCAGTGCCTGGGATGAAAAGGCAATCTTATGAAGAAAGATTGAACAACTTCAGGCTGAATCCCTTGGAGTTTTGAAGATTGTGAGGTGATCTTGTTAAAACGTACAAGATCCTGACAAAACTTGACAGGGAAAATGTAGAACAGGTGCTTCATCTTGTTTGAGAAATTCAAACAATGGGATGCAGTTTACAAAATGGTTTTTCTTGTTTAAGGCTGTCTAAGACTTCCTGAACTGAATGCCTAGGCAACAGTGGAATATCTTTATCTTGGAATTTCAATATTGTAGCCTTAGCCTAAAATAGTGCTTTAAAAAAAAAAGTCAGGAAAAATATTTAGTTCCCAAGCTCACAGAATATCAGAGAATGATATTATAAAGCTAACTAATGTTCAATATTGACACTATGTACAGTAGGATGGAAGAGAAACTCATCATGTAGCGATTCCATGTACAATCAAAAAAGGCACAGTTGTGCAGGTTAAGATAATTATTCCCCAAAAGAGGACATCTGTTTTATTTTGTATTCCTGACTACCAATTATGCCTTCAAAGTTAATAGCCAAATGATTAAAGCAAAAATCTTTAGTTTTCACATTGGAATTGCAATGTTATGTGGATAATGCGAATCCCAATGCATAGGAATATGACTACCAATATTGGTTCTAACAGAACATTCTACTGTTAAGTGAATATTCAGAGCTTGGGTTCATTATCAGAACAAATGATGCAAGTTAGAAGTTGCGAACAGCGCTCATGGCAGAGATTGTTAAGTGTCTTGTGGCTAAGTGGAGTGCCCCTACCTTTAAGCCAGAAGACTCCTGAAGTCACTGTTCATAATGTGATTCCCTCTATTTTGGTGAAGTCAAATGCAGGCTGGATAACCGCTTTGAAGAACACTTGTGCTCTGTCCACAAATATGACCCCGAACTTTCAGTTGCCTGCCACTTCAACGCACCACCATGTTCCCACTCCAACATTTCTGTCTCAGGCCTGCTGCAGTGTTCCAACGAGCCTCAGCACAAACTGGAAGAACAACATCTCATTTTCCACTTGGGGACCGGGCAGCCTCTAGGACTCAACCTTGAGTTCAATAACTTTATAGCCCGATTCCGTCCTTCCATGCCTTTTACCCACCCGACACGCAGTCCTGCTATGACATGGATTGCTTTTAGCCCATGAAGAACGGTTACTGGACCTAAAACGTTAACTCTGATTTCTTTCCACAGTTGCTGTCAGATCTGTTGAGTTTTTTCAGCAATTTGTTTTTGTTGCTTTTAACCCTGTCACCCATTCCCACCTACTCCTATGTCTATTATCATTTGAAATGGGTTGCATTCAGCAGAGCTAACACATTTTCTCATTCTTAGCTCTTATTATCATTTATTTACCTATTCTTCTGTTCTGGCCTACTCCTTTATCTACTCCTTTCAAATCTCTCTCTCTCTGGGCTCTGTCTCCACTTTCTGCTCATCTGTCATCCCTCGGTTTGGCTTCAGCATAATTACAAGCTTTCCTAACTACTTACAGTTCTGATGAAGAGTCATCGGACATGAAATGTTAACTCTGCTTTCTTTCCACAGATGCTGCCAGACCTGCTGTGTTTAGTCTCATCAACAATTCCCCCACCCCAGGTGTATCACGAAGAGTCACTTGTGAACCACTTTGATATTATTGAAAAGGGTCTATCCCCTCCTTTTGTGGTCCCTAGCTTGACAGAAGTCTGTCTTTTCTTTATATTTTCTAATCAAGCTGCTGAGAGATGTTATTATACACCTCTGGAATTGGTGGGACTTAAACCCGGGATTCCTGGTTCAGAGGTAGGGACTCTATCAAGCCCACTTGATGTCCTGATCTTAAAGGCCAGAAAAATAACAGAAAAACCATGGGTGACAGTTGTTTGTTGGTTCACCAGTCAGAGCATTACTCTGAGAAATCAGAGTCAACCTACTCAAGTTAAAATTTAACAAAGCTTGACTGTTAATCAGCATTAATAGGGCATTCTCCATAGCAATGCCTCTACCAGAGTCTGTTAGCCAACCAAACCATAATCTCCTCTTATGCAGTATTAATGTTGGTTTTCCCCTTGAATTTGAATTCTTGCAAAATATCCTGATTAGTGCAAGATGAAAAGCTTTGAAAGAATGTTTTTTTTAAAACTGCAATACTCAAGTTCTGTACTACCACACTTTGCTACCATAATAACTTGGGATAACAAGTGATCAATCTCTGTTTTAATATTTATAGATCTAGCATAGATTGCTTATTAACAGAAGAGAGTTCCAAATTTTACCAGATGAATATTTCTGAATTTGACTCTTGAAAAGTCTGGCTCTGACTTTGCTTCATTGCTGTCCACTTCAATGCCTTCAATCGACAGAAGTTTGGCAAATGGGTTTCAAATTACATAGTCCAATCTACCAATATCTCACAATGATATGCTGCCATCAACACTGCTAACAATATAGTTTACCTTTGAGTCATTGGAAAATTTAGTTTGTGTTCTATCTCATCAGTGAAGTTGTTAATTAATAGAGTGAGGTCCCAGCACAGGTACTTGCAGGGCATCATTATGCAGAGCCTACTAACTAGAGTACCTGATCACTAACCCTACACCCTTGCTACCTTCCTCCTGATCCAATTTCACATCCAGGGCAACAACTCTCCTTCAATTCCATGAGCTTTGTAGAATCAGAATGGTTTGAAAGAGGCCACTCAGCTGGTTGTTTCTGTCCTGATACTCTGAAGGAGCCATTTATCATTTGATACTTCCCTATCTTGTTCCCTTCACTTTAGCAATTTCACAATAATAAATACTACACTAAATGTCAATAATTCTCTAGTTTCCCTCTTATCTTTCTTAAATAGCAGACTGACATGCACAATTTTACAAACCATATTTATGTTAACTTATGTAAATGGGGACGTTGTTTAACTTTCAAAATTGCCCCTTTCAATGTACTACAGGGTTAACTGGAGACAGAGCTTGTTGGCTGGATGAATGGTCAAGTCTCCAAAACAAGCCACTGTTTGCCCAACATTTTCATCCCACTGGGCATAAATATTCTAAATCCAAAAAATATCAGGCACAGATTAATAATGGTCAAGGCCTGAGCACTCTAAAGTCATTACTAGGATACCGCTGTCATTTTAACAGGCTAAAGCAATGCAGATTACTAACCTGCAGCATTGGTAGGTCACCCACTCCTTGCACAGCTAAAACGTCCCAATCCAACAGAAAGATATCTTGTCAAGTTACCAAGAGCCAGTGAAATGAAATGCCAGACCGTATTTGCAGATTTCACTAGTCAGGCAGGCCACCATTCAATTATCAACTGTGACTTCAAGCTCTGTAAGCCTAACTGGTTCAGCCATCACATTACAGCAGCTGCTAATGATTGGCCATGGAGTGCACGTACCAACCAGGTCAGTGTTACCTCCATTTCTTTCCTGTGTGAAACAGAACATTCTGCAGTGTTCTATCTTACTGCAGAGCAGACAAGATGAAACTTCACTTTGGTTTGCATACAGGTGGGGACCCAATCAACCTTATGCTGTGAACACTTAGTAACATCATGAAAACAAAGATCTTAAAAAGGTCAAATGCCTCCTCTTCATTAAAATGGACAGAAGGAACTTTCTGTTCATCAAACTGCTTTGGGTCAAAACAGTCACCTCATAAAACATGCAAATGTCTACTGAGTAATGCCTAACATAGACTTACCCGAAAGAGTACCCTGAACTAGGTTTCTTCAAAGTCACCCAGAAACTTATTAGGCAAGTCATCAAACTAGAAAACAAAGAGATTAATGTCAAAAGGCCCAGACTGAAAGCAGCTATAAGCAAAGTCAACTGCATTCACAAGCTTCAGACCTGCTAACTCAATTTTATAAAAATTAACAATTCATACAAAAATGTCCTAATAGCATGCAGAGAGAAATGTTTTACAATTCTTGTACAATTAAAAGACAATTTTGTGTATAATTATTCATCACCAAGAAGCCTTGAAGGTGCTTTCCTTTTCCTGGAATGATCTCATTTAGTGATGTTGAATGTCACTATCACAACTCTAACACAACACAAAACTAAACATTTAGCTGTACCTCAAATTTTTGGAGATACTGTAAAATTTCACTAAAAAAAAAGCAACCATTCTGCCCCTTTTCAAAAAAAGGGCACTGGTGAGCAAATGACTTTTTCCACAAAAAGGGTAACGTAATATAAGCATATATTAACTGCATTTTACAGATCTTTCAGTCACATTTTTTTTTAGTGACAATTAAAAGAAACAAAATCCAACATGACTTTGCTTCAAAGATATGTCACTTTCCATTCTGTCTGAAGTGATGTCACACAGATAACAGTCAATTAAGCTACTCCATTTCATAAACGACAGCAGGTACCAGATTGATAATTACTCCCTCAGAAAGGCCAGGAAAGTAGAGCAGTCCCATCTGAAACATTAACCCCTCTTTCAAATACTGATTGGACTTCCACACATCTCCATCAAATTTATTTTTTTTTAATCCTAATCTTCAATGATGTGTGGATTATTCAATAGTTTATGATCTAACTCAAAGTACTGAATACTATTTTTTATTTTCAAAGTAAACAATTTTTAATAGATAGTTTACAAAAAACATAAGAATTCTCATGCTGAATTGTCAACAGAGATTAATTGAGGGATATATACCAAAGCACAAATATTTTATTCAATGACACTGCTTTTATTGCAATACGTAGTTTGTTTCATAAAGTAAAGTGCAAGAGGAACTAAGCAGTTCTGGCAGCATCTGTGGTGAAACAGTAATGTCATGAGTTCAATAACTCTTCTTTGGAACATAAAATAAGTTGTCTTCAATCACAACAAGAATAAATATTCCACGATTATATGGCAGAACAATTAAATTAATTAATATCAACATTACAAAATATGAAGCATGCAACACAGAATTACCACAATTTTCATAATGCAACACAGCATGTTCATAATCACAGCTGTGTTAACCAGAAGGAACTATAGTAAGCAGACATCAGGCAGCATCCCACAGAATGTAAAGTTCTCAAAGTCTGTTAATGTGGTCAGGTGAAATCACTGTGGTCCCAGAGGACCATAGGGCTGGTCTCTCCGAGAGGGACAACTGGCGGTGGGTTTAAACTGAGGGTCACCACGTCTGAGGCGAGGGGTGAAGTCAACGAGTGGGACATTCATGGTGACCTCAGCCGGTGTGGGAATCGAACACGTGCTGTCAGTGTCACTCTGCACCACAAACCAATGAGGACGACCAAGCAGCTGTGGCAGGAGCAGCAGAGGCCAGGAAACAGGTCACCCTCCCTCACAAACGTGTGCGCTTATGAAAAAAATCCATGAATTTCAAGTAAAATTTAAAAGTAAAACTGGTCATTTGATGAAACGCAATTGCAAGGTTACAACCATTTCTGAATATATTTCATGACAACCATTCATAAGATCTGACAAAATAAAATTTCACTTCTGTCAAGTAATCTTTAATACCAGCAGACACAAGTACACTAAAAACTGACGTTCAGAAGATTAGAAAAAATTACCTGAAAAGATCAAAAATGGTAAGATATGTGTAAGCAGTTAAAGCTGTAGAGAAAAAAAAGAGAAAAATGTCAAACTAACATTTGTATTTTGTCAAGTAAACTTTTTCTCTTCATTCACAGCAATATATGAAGTCATGGCATAGATTATAAAAGTAGGGAAGTCATATTGGAGCTGTACAGAATTTTGGTTAGACCCCCCACTCTGTATGTAGTTCTCGTCATCACACCACAGGAAGGATGTGATTACACTAGATGTTGCCTGGGTTGGAACAATCTGCTATGAAGAAAGGCTGGATAAGCCCGGGTTGTTTTCTTTGGAGTGCAGAAGGCTGAGGGGGGAGCTGATAGAGTTGTATAAGATTATGAGGGGCATGGATAGCGTGAATAAAAAGCAGCTGTTCCCCTTATTTGAAGAGTCAATAACAAAGGGGTATAATTTTTAAAGTGATAGGCAGGAGGTTCAGAAGGGATGAGGAAAAGCATTTCACCAAGAGGGTGTCATGGGTCAGGAATGCACCTGCTTGCAAGGGCAGTTGAGGGAGGAAATCTCTTAACTTTTACAAGCACTTGATGAGTATTGAAGTGTCATAACAATCAAGAGCTATAAGCCTAGTGCAGAGAAATGAAACTAGTATAGCTACTAACATATTTTTGGCGGTAGAAACTTGGTGGGCTGATGGCCTCTTCTGCACTGTGTGATTCTATGAATATTTCTTTGAATCTTATATAAACATTCGTCTTTAAGAAACTCTCTAACCTGGCCATTCACAATCAATTTGTACTCAGCAACTATTTAAAATATACATATTGCAAGGAATTAAATGTGCCAGGTGAATGCAGACTCACCACAGATAGCACTAATTCTACCTCAGTTAAAGATTTTTCCTTAGGTAATTCAAAAATCATTATACGTAAAGTTAACAAAGCAAAATACTTCAATCATGCAACATCTCAAAGAAAACAGTTACTTTCAATTTTCTAAAAGTCAGTATTACTGCTTTGATTAGGAAACATATAATTAACAGACATTACTTTGAGGTGCATATCTTTATCTTAAGCTTGTTGTTTACACAGACAGTAATGTGGCCCATAGTTAATTTAGGAGGATTCAGATGAAATGCGTTCTAGTGTATTGGACAGAAGATGATCCTATTAGTAAGGTAGCTATGTATTAACCCTAATGGGGGTGATGCTCAAAGATTTCCACTTTAAACTATTTTGCCTTAAGAGAAATAATCTTTACTACAACATGCAAGGTTAAAACCAAGTGTATACAAAACTTAACACTCATTTAGGAATCTCCTGCATCTGAAAAATCATTACCAGCTGAAGATTACTAAAGGTCTTATGACCATCCTTTACATCAAAAGCAGGGGCATGAAACCTGGTATCAGAGATAGTAGGAACTGCAGATGCTGGAGAATCTGAGATAACAAGGTGTAGAGCTGGATGAACACAGCAGGCCAAGCAGCATCATAGGAGCAGGAAGGCTGACGTTTTGGGCCTCGACCCTTCATCAAATTCTGATGAAGGGTCTAGGCCCGAAACGTCAGCCTTCCTGCTCGGCCTGCTGTGTTCATCCAGCTCTACACCTTGTTATCGCATGAAACCTGGTGTTGTGTTTAAGACGCACATGGTTGCTCCTTCATTGACTTGCAAGCACTGCAGCAATGTCATGGCTTGTAAAGTTGTGCACGTCATTCGTTAATTCAAGGATTAGCACACTATCCTGCGGGGGCATTTCCTCCGTCAGGGACTTCACTTACCATCTCCAGGTGCTCATCTCATCTGGTACCATCTCTGAACACGTTGATTAGAAAATGTTTATAGAGTGGCCAGGTCATTGGCCAACACTCACCACCAACCAGATAACCAAATGGTAGAGGTATAGCAAGGGCTGTAAAGCCATAAGTGGGACTGCAGCAGTGGAAAGGAAAGTTGGATTCTCAAGTTTTTTTTTTCTTATCTTATTCTCTTAATCTAAGTTAATGTAAATAGCGCCATACATGTACAGTGAAGGTACACACTTTTCACTGCATTATTACACTATCAACATCCTGGGGGTTACCATTGACCAGAAACTCAACTGGACTCACCACATTAACACAGTGGCTACAAGAGCAGGCCAGAAGCTAGGAATATTGCAGCAAGTAACTCATCTCCTGACTCCTCAAAGCCTGTCCACCATCTACAAGGCACAAGCCAGGAGTGTGATGGAATACTCCCCACTTGCCTGGATTAGTGTAGTCCCAACAACACTGAAGAAGCTTGACACCATCCAGGACAAAGCAGCCCGCTTGATTGGCACTACATCCACAAGCATCCACTCCCTCCACCACCGACGCACAGTAGCAGCAGTGTGTACTATCTACAAATCAAGTTGCACTGCAGAAATTCACCAATGATCCTCAGATAGCACCTTCCAAACCCACGACCACTTCCATCTAGAAGGACAAGGGCAGATATATGGGAACACCATCACCTCCAAGTTCCTCTCCAAGTCACTCACCATCCCGACTTGGAAATATATTGCCATTCCTTCACCGTCGCTGGGTCAAAATCCTGGAATTCCCTCCCTAATAGCATAGTGGGCCAACCCACAGCAGGAGGACTGCAGCGGTTCAAGAAGGCAGCTCACCACCACCTTCTCAAGGGCAACGAGGGTGGGCAAGAAATGCTGGCCAGCCAGCAACACCCACATCCCACAAATGAATAAAATAAAAGAATACATGTAACAATAAATGATTCAATTCAATTCAAAAGTACAGAAAGAGTGTCATTACCAAACAAGTCCCTCAATAGAACAGGAATGGTAACATTTAAACTGAAATTTACAGGTTTGCTGGAAAGGATCTTTAATTGTTTTTCACTATGCTCCAAAATTAGGAAAAGAATTTCCTCTGTTTCAAAAACAGAAATTCAGAAGTAATTTCCAAATACTATAAGTAATTGTACAGAAATGAAAAACAGTTAACAGAGAAACTTGCTGCATTCTCAAAACAAGGCTCTGTCATCCATTATGAAATATCATTGACAGTAATGAGAAAAAAAGGAGACAGAGGCACAAAAATTATGGTTTAAAAACTGTCTGAATACTATTTTGTATGACTAAAGAAAATGCCAGCACTCTGTCATGCTCATAAAATTCTTACAATGTACAATTGTTCATCAATTTACCTAATAAATTCAACCTCGACACAGAAGGGCAACCAAAAATATGCATGCCCAAAATTAATTTACCAAAATTAGCAACAGGTTTATCTTTTATTCCATGCCATGAAACAATGCACTTTGCTACCCTGATCTGACTAAAGCCAAATCAGAGTCCTTACCTCACGAAAGCTCTTTCGAAATAGTTTGTACTCAACCAATTTAAAACGTAACTTAATTTCTGAAATACATGACATGGGGATTGGAAACTAAAAGATAGCATTAAAAGAGAAATGTAGTCCAATGTTGACCAACACGTTTAATTAAAATGGAAGAGAAGTAATATGTCATGTTGGGCAGTCCAAGGTGAGAAATGTCATTGGTTTAATCCCCATTCCATTATTCTTAATCTCATGTGTGCTGTTGTGTGGACTAATCAAGAATCCAGACAACTCCTCACAAAGCACAATGGAGAAGATCATCATGGAAATCAAGCCTACTTTCACAGCAGTGTGTTCTGTGACTTAAACATCCAGCAGCACAGCAAGCACTTTGACACCAGTGTGAAATGGTACGTATACAAGCTAAGTGTGGAGCATGGGTGCCAGGTGGGTGAGGGGAGGTAGGATGCCAGATAAGTGGTTGAGTGTTTGGGGTGGATGGAGGGAGGGTTAGTTGGGTGCACAGTTATGGGTGAATCGGAGTCAGACAGAGGTGTGTTGTGCCAGGGTGTTGGGAGGATGCTGGTCTTGAGCAGTGGCAGTTGACTAGCTTACTGTGTGCTTGGGTGGAGTACACACATTTGTGTGGGGGGCATTGGTGGATGTATTAGTGTGTATGTTAGGGTGTGATTGTGGTTTCGCACGAGACGGGGAAGGGGAAGGGGAGGGGGTGGGGGAGGAGGAGTGCCTGTCAGGCCTTAGGGTGACATGGCATGGAAGAAATGGTGTTGGGTTGGGGATGGTCAGGAGTGATGTTCATTTCAGAGAGTGAGAAGAGGGACGCCATCGGAGGATACGGGGTGTGGAAAAGAGCCGAGTCATTGGTGAATCAGGGCCTCGGGTTAAACTATTAAAAGTTAAGCGAGTTGAAACCTTTGAAATTCTGACCTTAAAGGAGATTTATTGGAGGGTTCCAAATGTGAGGAATTGTCCATTGAAACTTTCATATAGGTATCAAGTTCACAACTTATTTAAATCACCATCAATGGAATGGAATATGACGTGGGATATACAAAGGTAGCTTTTACTAGCCTTCAGTGAAAACTACATCCATTTCAAATACTCTCCAAAAAGGAAAAAAGTAACATATCCATTCAGAGATATAGCACATTCAATTGCATTTGATAAATTATTTTGCCAATCATGGACTTATGCTTCAAGACATTAGTGCAATTCACTGTATTACATTAATATCAAAAATATCAGGAAAGATTTATGTTGTTTACTAGATACATAACCATTCATGTTTTTCTAAGTAACAACTTTGTTAAAATGAAAAGCAAACTCATCTCCCATAATTTTCCAGCAACTTGCTTAGATGACACATGCGCATCGGAGTATGCAATGTTTGGAAATGAATGATTAGACTAATGTATGTTGCAGTAAGTCTGAAATGATATAAACGAGGGTAGAAAAGCGAGGGAAATATTTGGCAGGACTGTCCAAACATCTTCCTCTGAAGTTTGTGGTCAAATATAAAAGCCTAAAATCTATAATATCAGCATCTCGTCATATGTAAATTAAGACACCTAAATGCTTCAAATTTGGATTTATTCACAAAAGCACATAAAGTGCTAAGAACGGTTCCAAACTTGCAAGCATTGCGAAAAATCTGTGTTGGGAATTCTGTATTTTACTTGCATTTATGAACTTACTACCTACTTTGGTTCCTATTTATTAGCATAAATAAAA